CACTTTAAAATTCAAAAACTTTTTGAATAACAAATTGAAAAAGTTTGGAGGGGATATGCAAACGGTCATTAAAATTTTTATTACGGTTTATATTAATCGCCAATTAAGTTTAAGCCTGGCTTTAGGATTCCTTTTTTTTATTTCGGAAAATTCAATTTACATGCTGCAAAGATAAAGGTCCCACGGGACTGTGCGTTTAGCATAAATTTCTAAACTTGACAGGGCAAACCATCGTCCTAACATCATTATTAGACGCCTTCCCACATCAGCTACTTAAAATCCCATTCGGAAATCACGTATACGTTCCACGAATAAGAGATTAGAATACATGTTCTATATATAAATATATATAATGTCATGTAAACAGATACGGCGAAACCTATTTAGATAAAAGGACATAAAAACTAACTGCAAATTCGATATATTCCTTCTATTCTATCTGAATGGATTTTCCAGTCTATGGAAGTCAAAGGCAGGCTTTGAGATCATTTTTCGCGGAACCAAATTTCCGGCATTGAGAAGCTCGGAACGGGTTTTTGAATATATTTCAATGCTTTTTCCGTTTTTTACCTCTATATCGAATTGGTCAATTGAAAAATCCCAAAACCGCACTTCGGGATGATACAGTTATGTATAACTGTATGGTAAACGTTATAGGAATATGTTTAGGGTTAGTTTTTTTACACGTAGATGATATACATACATATAATATTTTGAATTAGTCTTAATAAATGTTATAAAATAAATATATATATGAAAATATTTTAAATAACTAAAAAACTGCTTAAAAGGCTTTCAAAATTAAGAGCACAAATTAGATAAAAATTTAGACTATTTAAAAAATTAATTTTTAGTTTTTTTAAACTGATTATAAAATTAGAATCAAACATGATTTTAGGATTTTATCAAGCAAATATGTATTGAGCAAAAGTCATTGAATAACCAAAGCATGTTTTTGACAGAATTTTAAAATACCAGATATTTTGGGAGAAAACTTAACACTGGATTCTTTAGTAAAAAAATATGCGTTATGCTTCACTTTCAAGTTACAGTTAAAACTTTTCAATTTTTTTTTAATAACGATTTTAGCTATTACATAATTGAGTATATACTTTATTTACCTGTTAACACTATTTATCATTTGAGCTTTTGTTTTCAAATTATAATTAATAAACAAAAGCTCAAATGAAAAATATTTATTGGAACAAAAGCATTGGTCTCGATGCACAGTTGGCACAATTGCATAAAAGCTGGCCAAAATTTAAAAAATACAGTTGTCGGACTGTTTTAGTAATAAGAATTTATCAAAAAAGGGGCTATAAGAGTTGCATAGGCTGCTTTTTTTTGCGCCTTAAAACACGCGCAGCATTTATTTTGCTATAACTCATTATTAAAGTTTGCGATTTTAAGTTTCTGCAATGATGAGTGTTTCTGGAGGTAAGTAGAATATTTGTTTGCATTATTGTGATTTCTTAATACGTTTTGACTGTATTTAAAGGACTTGTAACAAGTTTCTGTTACGGTATCGTTTTTCATGTAAGGATTGAAACAAAACTGTATCACAACATACTCTACAAAAAATGATTACGAAACTTTGAGAAACGATTCGTATTAGTAGCAAAACAAGTAACAAAATCTTGGTAAGGGTTTCAGCGGAAACAAAATTGCCTTTGAAACTGTTCGTAACGAAAATCGCAGGAGCTACTATAGTATACTACAGAAACACAGGATATTGAAACTAAACTAGCAACAGTAAATAGATAACAAAACGTTGAGTTTTTAAAATATTCAACAACACAATGTCTTGGTTAAAATCTTCATAATATGTCTATCAGCTGCCAAGTATATTGACATTGTAAAAAAATTTATATTCGTTAAAAGTTTGAATTAATACGCTAAAGAAGCATCGGGTTTTCGCAACGCGCGCGTCATCTGGTGGAGTTAAATAGCATTGTGTGAATTTAAGAATTGTCAACAATACATTTAAAGCATACGAACTGCACATCATTTTTAAATAAATAATTAGTTTTTTCACAAAAGAGAGGACGGCAGAAGTCTTACTCGACAAATTTTGTTCAATTGCACAGCTAACACGTTATAATATTTGTGTTTTGCGTTGCAAGTAAAAACTAAAAAACTTTGGTTTAGTACTCGATTTTGATTAATTATTCCTTATATAATTGGTTAAAAAATGTTTATGAATTACCAAAACAAAAAAAACATCTATAATTTTTGGGATACCTTAATCTTAATAAAAATCTAATTTTTCATCTGAATTTTTTAGGGATTATTTATCTATGCATAACATTCATATCCATATTTTTTAAAATTTATTCAACCGAAACTTATTTTAAAAGGTAGGAACGTGTAAATATATTCAGTATTTTATTATTTGGTTTATTGATGCTTTAACAACACAATTACGAATCAAAATAATATTTTTTTGATGCGTAAAAATTTTTATAGTAGGTACTTTAAGCATTAATAAAAATAAACGTAAAATTTAAAATCAAAAAACAAAGCTCGCTTTTAGCAGATCCAAATTATTCATCAAAAAATACTTTACAATTTTAACATTAGGTAATATTTAATATTTTTCTGAAAGCAAGAGAAAAATAATAAAATCGCTGTGTGTATTTTTGGGCGTTTTTCTTTGTCGCCTCGCTCGAGTTGCATTGTCTAATTTAAGCGATGCATAATAGCGAAGTGGAAGGAAAAAGGCACTTTACATCCCAGATAAAACGTCAGCAGCCCGTATGCATTTGCACGAAAATAAAACTACGAAAATGCATTTCCAACATGTGCCGCATATCATATGTCTTCCTATTTCTCAAATTGCACAGTGAGTCGGACTTTAGTTCTAACTGTATACAAGATTATAATCATATGAGAAGCGTCGGGTCAAAACCAAATATGTCACTAATTGTTGTGTGAGGGGTCATTTCACCCTCAAAGTGGTCGAAGACCAATATTTTCTATTTAAAATTCACAGCTTTCCTTCCAGTCACGTGTCATCAAGGTGGCACAGTCAAAACAGTAGTTTCAAATGTCATGATTTTTGTTTTTGTACAAAAAATTGTGTTAAAAATAGTACAACAGTATCAGTTGTACCCGACAGACGTATATCTCTATCGCTCCACAAACGAGACAGAATAAACAGTGCATTTTAAATCCAGAATACCTAAAATGTAATTATTCTATAAGGTTTCGTTCAACAGTTCACTGAACAGGTTGATTGTGGCGGGAAACTGAAAGAGTTCAATCACGAGGAAACAAGGGGTATCTGCTAAATTCGGATAAGTATTTTAAAATAATATTAATATTAATTAACATAATTTGCAAGACGCTATTCGCAATATTAAAACTCGTATCTCCGAAATTCAACAAGCCTTTCAAGCATTCGGGTTTTTACCTATCACGTAAAAAAATGCTTAGGAACAACTGAAATATAAAAAAAATCATTAAAAGAGGTGACCATGGAATAAACCGCCATTTTAATAGATCAAAGAATACCTAATGCTTATTCAGCAAAGCAAGTTCGACTTAAAATTAATAACAATTATCCGACCAAAGGACTAATAAACCCATAAATCTATCTGATCTTTGCCTAACATGAACATAATAAACTCGATATCTCAAACTCTCGAACAAAAGTAATAGCCTTCTACGAGCCACAACCGTTATAATTGCTCTTAACATTTGTCTTTTAATTAATTATTAAAATATTAATGCAACATATTAATTGTTGGAAAAGAATAAAAAGAACGTTAAAACAATTTCTACCACAAAACGTAGACAACGGAACGCTCGGGCAACACATTAACTAGAATCATGAGACAATTTTCACATTACTTCGGTAATAAACATTAAAAAAAAACTAGCAGAAACTAACGATTACAATCGGTAGTTACATTGACGACTATCGAAAACTACCTATCAATTGATTAATAGTTCTCGACCTCTAGACCGAAAAAATGCGTTTAGGACGCTGAAGAATAGAAGGTATTACAAGACCAGCAAGGATGGGTCCTAGCAGCGTACTAACCAACCAAATCACATTCATGAACCAAAATTGAATGGGGGTATTACTAAATCCCTGGTTGAGGGGGATTCCTGATTGTACTTAGTTTTGAATAAGTATAATGTCCCCCAAAACCAAAATGTTCTCCCTTATTATCCCGCACTACACTAACCTAAATCGGGTGTATGGCCCGGCCCGGCGACAAAATTTCGGGAAAAGCCTTAGAGATTTACCAGCCGCGACTAGCCGTCAAGACGCGTCGTGAAAATTCGGATTCATTAAAAACAGGTAGACAAGTAAACATTTTTATGAGGAATGTTTTTTTGGTTAAACGCATAATAAAAGTTTCTCCTTTTGCAACCCGAATCGTGGACAAACTATAGAAAAAAATCCAGTCGTATATATATCATGGTCTTATTCATGTCGCAGACCACTTTTTTTTGTGGTCCTGTGTAATTGAACCAAAACAAAAATTATCCCGCATACCAAGGTAAAGTAAAAAAAAAAAAATTTCAAAATTCGGAGTATAGGATTAATAAAAAATAAGTCTTGGTAGGATCCGATATAAACAAATAAATAACATGCAATCTGGTCATAAACAAACATGTCCATTTTTAAAAGATGATTTTTTAAATTCTAAAAGTATTTTGATCACGATGGCTTAGAGAGCCCAATAATTTAATGTACTTAATATTTAAAACAGTTTTTTTGCTCAACTGAAAAATCTGATCAGCGCGCTGCAGCGGAACATATTTGGTTTTGACCAGACGCTCCCCATATAAACACTAAAAAATGACTGGAAGGCATTTAAGCTAGTTTATTAAGTAAGTTTATTACACTGTGCCACGGTAAAATTATAACCAAATTATCGAGATATAAATAAACATAATTTGTAACAACTTACCAATTATAATAATTGTTGGCTGGTCAAAAACAATGAAGACCTGAAAAATAAGCAAAGTGTTAATTGGTTATGTTATATGTCTCCAAAATGACACACCTGTCACTTCTTATTTATTTTTGTGTTTTTCTATCAACTGCAAGCACTGGCCCGCTTTTTATATTTAGTTCCACTGAAGTTCGAACCTCCTCAACTGTAGCTGTTACAGAAGGTAAACCTAATTCGACTTAATTGCATATTTGCGTATTTATTTATATCTGTGTATTATAATTTAATATATCTTAAATCGTAATAGAGCCATTCAAAAAGGTTTAAGGGTTCGTAAACTGGGTTCGATTAAAATTTTATTTACTTTAGTTACTGAAGTCACTGAAGATCTTGCTTGGAAGGATGATTTGGAAGAGTTACAAGATGATGATTACGAGGAGCTGATGGAAACTCAAAATTCAAAAGGGGTTCGAAGAAAAAAGCAAACAAAATTATGGGATCATTGGGGTAAGCCAGTATTTTTATTTAATTCGACGTATTTTAAAAAACAAGCAAGATGGCATTAAATTAGTATTATTAATAGATAACAAGCAGTTAGTAATAATTAGGGATGGGATTTTAGTTATTTTACCTTTTTTCAACCGATGTAACTATTTGAAAACCAATAATGCCAAAATGTGTTTTAAAAGATTTTCTTTTATATGAACCTAACTTTTTTTCACCTTTTTTTACCTTTTTTGGAGGTTTTTGCTTTAAACTACCTTTTTATACTTTTCTTACCTATTTTTTTAACTAGTTTTCACCTTTTTTACCTTTTTTGGAGGTTTTTGCTTTAAACTACCTTTTTATACTTTTGTTACATATTTTTTAATTTGTCAGTTTATTTTCACATATTTGTTATCTATTTTTACGTATTTTTACTTATTTTATTTTTTTGTGTTCTTTTTAAATTTTCCGCCAATATTTTATCCAGGGCGTGCAACTCAACGGTATAGAATTTTTTCTTACGGTCACAGCATAGAAATTATTCTATTATTCTAAATTATTTCTATGGGTCACAGACTGTAACAGTAACTTTCTTTACAGTATTTCTCTTAAAAATGACATGGTATTTCTAACGAAATTTATTAGTTGAATCGGTTTGGTGAGAGCATCGAATTATTTTCGCTGGAATTATTAAATGGTGGTCATAATGCCTAGTTACAAAAACTCAGAAATACTTTTACTGCATGTTAGTTGTAACAAAGAAAAATTTAGTTGATAAAAAAATATCATAATTCTAATTAGACCTGTTTAGTTGTTAGGAATAAAATAGTGGTTTCTTATAATGAATATTTTGTGTGTTTTGGAAAGGTATTTTCTTAATTCTTTCAGTTGACAAATTCGCTATCAAATCAAACAGTATTGTTGCATCAACAACCTAATTAGTTGGCACAACGAAACAGAATCGCTGCCTATCATGTCCATATATGGGCATACACGGGCAGTTTTCGCCAATTTCACAAGGGCGAACACAAGTGCATATGTAGTGCAAATGCATGAGTTTTATGGAAAATGTTTTATGTGTACATATTATTACTGTGTTTCAAAGGTAAATATTATACTTTTACATAACACGTATTTTGTTTAAGGTAGCTTTGTTGATTATAATGCTCATATTTATAACATTGTATGTATAAAGAGTTAGGTTATGTCCACTTGTTTAACATAAATTGGGTACTTAGACAATTAAATGTCGTCTAAGATTGGGTTTATTGCATGATACAAACACCGGGTACAATGGTGCAATTGTTGGCCAGTCGAGAATTAGTGGCCCTATTTTGAAAACTAGTAAATGATCGAACCGAAAACCTTCCAAATTTACGCCATTTTAAACAAAATGTTTAAAAGATACATACATTGTTAAATTTGAAGATTAATAAAGCAATAAAAGTTTAGTTTAAAAAAAATATATATAAAATATTTTACATATTTTGTAAAATACAGGCCAGTATCAGTTTGATACAGTGTTGTAATGTATCTAGTTGCAAGTAACTAGATACAGTATCTAGATACTTTTTATGTATCTGTTTGTGTAACTAGTTACCTATCCCAATCTAGTAACTATAACTGTAACTAGTTACAAATTCTAAGTAACTAGGTGTGTTAAGATACAAAGATACATTTTTAATTAAACTGCGACTATTATTTATTGAGACAAGGAAAACACGTCAACTTCCACTTCTGACACAATTTTTAATTTCTGAACGCATCCAAAAGTATGTCCATATAATATATGGTCATACTGATATTATTATTATTATTATTTTTTAACGAATTTACTTCCGTTGAGTAAAGAAATATACTAAACTGGTTATAAAAGGTTTTAAAAACCGTGGTAGATACAGTTTTCTGTAATCTGCACGTTTGACAATTAAGGTTTGTTTAAAATTTAAATTTAAAGAATCTTGTTACAAAAATGATATATATAAAAATAAGTACTTATATTAAAAATTCCCTTTTATTTCTATTTTAAATTTTTAAAGCAAAAAATAATTTGTATGTATCTTAAACTATCTAGATACTTTTTGAAGGTAACTGTATCTGTAACTAGTTACTGCAATAAAATATGTATCTGTATCTGTATCTAGCTACAAATTTTGGTAAGTAACTGTAACTGTAGCTAGATACTGAAAATATTGTAACTGTTACAACACTGGTTTGATACATACATCGGACAAAATTGTAAGTGACCTAATAATTATTAGAGTAAAGACTTAACTGTTTTAAACTTAAACTGCTGTCAGTATTTATGTTTAGTTTTAGACTTTTTAAATAAAATTTATTTAAATATGAAAAAAGTAATATTTTTTGTACGGGTAGTTATTAGTAATGTAAAAATTACACTGACATTTTTAGAGGTAAAATACATTAAATTCTTGTAAGAGTAGAAGTAGTTTTATTTGTGGTAAGTATTACATTTTTTTATCTTAACTTAGAGGATGATCTTCCTCAATTTTTTTTCATTTTCGTTTCATAAATCTATGAGCTATTAAAACGATTTATGCTTGTTGTCATGACAGTTTTGTAGATTCGGTTTACTAAAATTATTCATAGTTGCAAGAATTATTGAGTTGCAGTAACTAAATTGGTATGGTATATGTATGATTTATTTTAAGGAATATAACAAATTTTGTTAGTCATTCTTACCCTTTTTTATTAGCTCTCCCTACTAATTTTTTTGTTTTAAAGCAACCGCCCTCGGTGGTGTAGTAGTTAGCACTGCGGACTACAAGCCGAGAGGTCGTGGGTTCGAATCCCACCAGGGGTATGGCTGTTTATTTGTGTTTGTTGTGTACTTCTGTAATTGGGCCTGGTGCCTGTAGAAGGCACATTAAAATATACTAAATAAATAAATAATGAAGTTTAAAATTTTTAATTAGTTCTCAGAACTAATTTGTCAGTTGGGACTATTTTGACTAAGAAAAGCACTAAAAATTAGTTCTCATAACCATAACCTATTTTTAAGAGTGTATGTTCTGTCATAGAATTTCTGTGTAGTGAGTGTCACTCAGTGATACACAATTTATTGCATAGAAATAGTTTATTGTGGGTATGTTCTGTGTTTGGGTATGCGGCTAAACAAAATTATAAAAGAAACTTGAACTTTTAATGTTTTTTTTTACCTAAAATGCTGTTTTTTTAACCTACTCGTAAAATGCTTTTTTTAGTACCTTTTTAGTTACCTATTTTTCAGTTTTTAGTACCTAAATATCCCATCCCTAGTAATAATGCATCCCTATCAGAATTCCTAAAAATTCGAAGCGGCGTTCCTCAAAAAATAATTTAAAACCAAAATTAAATATTAGGGTGTGTCATTATTAAGCAACTTTTTTTTTCAACTAAAAAACAGGCTAAAAACTTTTAGGAAGGGGAACAAAGAAACCTCTAAAAATTTAAGTTATTAATATTAACATTAAGTGGTGCCTGTTCCTAACTTTCCATTTTCCATTTAAATAACATGGAAAAAAAATTCTCTTCTTTTTTCTTATTTTTGTAGCTTGACTTTTGAGCATTGTAAAAACGAACTGAAAAATTATTTTGGTAGGAAATTGAACGCTCTACAAAAAAGTTTCAATATATTTTTTCATAGAGTGAGACGTTCTAAAGGTATTCAAACTTAAAGTTGCCTTTAACATTTCGAATCGCGGCACGTTAGCGTGCCTTTAGTCCCTGTGTAATCCGAACGGTAATATACCGACTGAGCCGATATAATCTTTTATCAGAATTATCGACTTTAAAATTATAAAAAATAAAGAAAGATTAAAAATTCATTACAATAACAAATTCATTGTTTTATTTAATCTATTATAATTATTGAAAAAATTTATTGAACACAAATAATTTTTTTGATAGTAAATAAAATAAAATGGAAAAAAAAATTGAGATGTGTTATTTTCTTTCTATACAAAAATAATTATTTTTTCTTAAAATAATTTTTAAGACATAAAAAAGTATTAGTTTAATAAAATAATTTCATACATTTGCAAGTTTGCCGTTTCAGAACGGCTTACTTTATGAAAAAATAAATTAGTACTTTTTTGTAGAGCGTTCAATTTCCTACCAAAATATTTTTTCAGTTCTTTTTTACAATGCTTAAATGTAAAGATACAAAAATAAGAAAAAAAAAATTTTCCATGTTATTTAAATGGAAAATGGAAAGTTAGGAATAGGCACCACTTAATGTTATTATTAAGAGCTCAAATTTTTAGAGGCTTCTTTTTTCACCTTCCTGAAAGTTTTTAGCCTGCTTTTTAGTTGAAATACATAAAAAAGTTGCTCAAAAATGACACACCCTATTAAATATAATGTTTAGAATAAACTTATGAGCAGTTATATCTAATTTTTTTTACATTAAGTCAAGGGTTAGATGGTAGAACAGCTGTTTATTGTGCTGGACCAAGTCCAAATAAACAAGCTGAATCTCGCCATTTCATAAATAATAATACTTACTGTCAATGATTTATCCTTATTTTTTTTATGATACCATTGTTATTTATGAATAAAGACCTAATTATTATTATTTGCCATTTTAATGTCCTATAGGTATACAGTGATGAACAAACGCATGCATGTATTTTTATTAAATTTGACTTTAATAGTTATTTACGTGTCAAGCGAGCCTAGTAAAGATTAATTGCAAAGCGTGACACGTACAAACTTTTATTTTCACCTTTAGATAACGATTTTCAAATTTAACATTTCATTTCATAAATTGCTTTTCTACAAGCCTGTAAAACTTTACAGGTCTGTTCACATAATGTATCGTTTACTTGGATACAAAAACAACAAAATTAACCTATAAAATGTCATTTACTAAGAAGGTTTATATAAAATATTTATTTTGACTAAATTAAAATTAAATAAAATACTTAACATCGTTAAATGAGATTTTTTATTTAAGGAAAATGGTCATCTTGCAGTTCATCCTGTGGAGTTGGTAAAATGTCAAGATGGCGGCATTGCATATCGGAGGGATGCGCTTTAGGAGAAAAAGAGGCCCAAATCAAGAGCTGTTCTGAGCAGCCGTGCCGATAGAAATTGTGTACGCGATTTTTTACAACTTGGTAGTAACATTTTATACAAGACATTAAAAATAAAATACGTCGTTAAGTGCTTTTCAATCCCACATAAAATTTAAATTGAAATAAAACTATACAATCAATTTAAATAATTCAATTCTATTGTTTTAATTAACGCAATTTGGATTTTTAATTCTTTTTAGATTCCATGCAATTTCGTTGCCGGCACTTTTTAATTCTTTTTGCTCATGAAACGAGATAAAGCAAATTTACAGACTAGCCGCGTGAAAGAAAAAACCCTCTCTAAACATTTACCCAATTTACCCATTCAATTAGAGCCGCGTGCTACGCAGTTGATACGAAAAAAATACCGTTGTCAACAATCGTTAAAATAAAGTGCCTTTCTTGTAAAATAATACTAAATGTGAAAATTATTTTATTATCTCAATACAAAAATACAGAAGTAGGTATTAAATAGTTTCTCAACGCCAATATTTGAAAAGTTTATATGAACATTGTATTGACCTTTTAATTTCGCCGGCAGTAAACTATAACTTAAATTCGGCCACTGACTCCACTGTAAAGTACTCATAAAACATTTTCTTTACTTTCACTGTGAAAAAATTTTCAAGAAATACATTTCGATTTATAACCTTTATAATCTGTGTTTATAAAATATAAAAATTTGACATTTGACAATGACACACAGATTCGCCTATTGTTTCATAGATGACGCTCTATAGAAATTTTTGATTTAAATCATTTTAAGATAATAAGTATTTGTCGGGGAAAAAGTATAGTATGCACCTCGTTTATAAACTTTTCTATACACTCATTAATTACATTCGTGTATAAAATGGCTATCAAACTTGATACAATTTTAAAATTAATTCGATCTTCAAGTTCATAAACTTTAAAATTTACTACATTTTATTTATATAAATCATATAGTTATGGGCAACAAAATGACCTAAAAGACACTTTTAGTTCAATGTTAATATTATTTAATATTTTATCTAGTAACAACGGAGAAGTATAAAATTTTCTTCATTATAATTAATTAATAAATCACTTTCCACCCTTTCACGACTTTACGTAATACAGGAGTTTTAAATACGGATTATAGGGTTGAGGACCTTTCGAGCTTTTATTGCGGCTTAATGTAGTCCTAGGAATTTTATTTTTAAATTAATACTTTTAATCAAATATTAATTAATTGGATTCTAACAATAAAACAGTATTCATGTTAATGTTCATAAATATACATATATTTAAATATTCATTGGCACTTCATCACATAAATAAATAAATTTACGAACATAATTCACATTTAATTTAGCTGTCAAATTATAAAATTAATGTTATAATTTAATGAAAGGTGCATAAAAGTGTATGCACACATATTTATAAATCAATATATATTTAAGCATAATTTATACGCAAAATTGGAAGCACATCCAAACTAATATAGTTTATTATGTATCAAGTTTAATAAACGCTGTTTTGGTAATAAAAATAAATTTCTAGTAAAGTTCAACGAGTTGCATATTATACTTTTTCTACGACAAATATAATAACAAATAATTTATTACTAATTAATTTCAATATTTGTATATAATATATATACATATATAATATATATACATATTATGTAGAGCGACAAAAATAGAGTAAAACATTTGCGTTAGGAATCTGTTTTACCCTTTTTTAAAATGTCAGCGTAAGTTGGTAAAATGTTCCTGTTAAAATCATAATTTTTATAAAGTATACTTAAAAATAGACTAACAACAATTTTAATCCAATATAAAAGCAGTTTTACACAGTAAAAGTGAATTGGATGTTTTTATGGGTGCTCCACCCGAAATTACTTATGCTTTATCTGCAAATACTGGTTTGCTGTCAGTACAAACGTGCATATAAAATTTTTCAAGATTTACGCCAATTTTTGAAAAATGTATATGTACATTGTACTGACCTTTTAATTCTGCCGTCAGTAAACTAGATTTAACTTAATTTCGGGTGGAGTGCCAATAAAAAAATTCTGTACTTTCAGTTTGAAAAACTGCTTCTATATCATATTAAACGGTCCATTTTCACATAAAAATTGGACATTTTCACCGTCGCGCCGGTAATACAAATTTTCAAGTTGGTTACTCTATTGTTTGATAGATGTCGATTGTCGATCTATACAAATATTTAATTTAAATCATTTTTAGATAATAATAAATAATCGTCGTAGAAAAAGTGTAGTATGCAAAACGTTTATAAATTTTCTAGACACTCATTTAATTAAACAATTGCTCGTGCCTAAATTAAATTAGTGTCTAAAATTGCGTTTATCAAACTAACATAATATACCATTATATAGTCCCACATTGACAAGCTGTGACTTTATGGCGTTTTAGTCACGGCTGAAATTAGCAATCGTGTAATTTGGGCATTTTAGTCACGGGCTGAAGTTAGCTTTATTATAAATTGCGAAAGAGTGAGGTTAAATTCGTCATTTGTCGTAGGTACCTATACTATTATAGTACTATAATAGTATGCAACTTGTTTTTATAAACTTCGCTAGATATATCTAGTATACTACACGGAAAAAATAATACAGTAAGACTTACTGTAAATACAGTTAAATTAACTATATTTTCTAATTAGTATTTGGACAACATTATGTAATGTTAATTTAACAGTATTTTTATTGTTAAAAAGTATTGTATATATAACGAACTAAGAATGTAAATTTTAATATTTTAGATTGTAGCCCTAACTATCCTGGATTGTAATGGGTATCTTCTTATATAGTAAAATTAAATAACTTAGTAAGTACAGTTAAATATATTAACTGGTAATATTAAATATTCCGTATTGTAGTACGTACCATCTTATATAGCAAAATTAAATAACTCGGTGAGTTCAGTTAAATATATTAACTAGTAAGATTAATTACACTGTCTTGTAATACTTACCATCTTGTATATTAGGATTAATTATACAAATATTTTTAAGATTAAGGGTTTATTCAGGCAATAATAAACAACAAATAAATAAAAAAAACTTTTATTAAACTATACTTTATAAACTATACTTTTTTAAACATTATTTTTATATTTTATAAACATAATTTTTCGAAATATCATTTTAATAATTATTATTATTATTTTAAAATTTTTAATTTAAAATAATTTTATTAAATCTGTTTATTACATACTTTCATACCGAGTTTCCTACTTTACGGAAGTATTATTTTGAGTTTGATAAGAGTGATTGGGTGTTTCAAATATTTTTTTTATTTTAATTCTCATAAATTAAGTTCATAAACGTAAATCTGTTTGTTATTAACAAACAGAACGTCTATGAACTTGTTTTATGGGTATAGAATAATAAGAAAATGTTTGAAACACCTATCACTCTTATCAATAAATATTTTAATTTTATACGAAAAGTTAACCAAAAAAAAAACAAAACAAAATTTTAAAAAAGGCTTAAAATGTATGTAATAAATAATTAAAAAATTGTAATAACATAACCACAATTAATTTTTTCACTAGTTTTTTTACACAATATAGTCAATTACTAACCTTAAATTTTTTACAATGCAAAGTCCAAATAAAAAAAATTATCTTGTAATAATAAAATGAATTTAGTAATAATAAAAAACTAACCTTTAAACTTATCAATATATTCTTCCAGTTGCCACTCCGTTAAAATTTCGTCACGTACATTTTACTTCTATCCCTTAACATCCTTTTATACTCTGGTAACTATATACAGTGACCTGAAAAAGTATGACAAAAATTCATTTAAAAATTCCTTTTTTTGTTCAAAAAAAAAATCCCCGAACACGTCGATTTTGTTTTTCAATTTCGTGCTAAATGTGCATTTTGATGTAAAACTTTCATATTTGCCGCAATTTTTGTGGAAGCTATAACCCACACCAAATTTATAAGAGTTTATAATATTAAATAAAAAGTTTGCGGAAAAAGTTGGGTTCCCCCAAGTGAGATAATTCAAATTTTTATTAATAAAATTTATAATTTACTATTAATTAACAATTGTTTATCGATAAATTTCAAAATTTATTAAAACAATTCAGATTTTATAACAATTAAAATTTTATTATTTTTCCTGAAAAAAATAAAAATGGTATAAAATGTGCATTATGCACCCTGCCACATTTATGTGAAAATGTATAAAAAAATCATGTATTATAATACGCTTTATCATACAGTTGCCACTGGAGACAGTACGAAACGCCAATATGAATTATTATTATTCTCGAAATTTTGGCAAATAGAAAAAATAGTAAAAATATCTCATGTCATAATACCTTTTTTCGCACTCGTCCATTACAAAACTCCCTCCTTCGTCGGTCGTTTTGTAAATTGTCCTCGTGCAAAAAAATGACGTCATTAGTTCTTTAATATTTCTATTGTAAATTTGACGTTTCTTATTATTGTTATTGTTCTATTAAAATTTTAGTATTTACTAATATAAAGCAGAAGTTTAAACATTTTTTTTCTAGTTTATAAATCTCTAAACCCAATTACCCAATCTTACAGAGTTCAATAATAATTGCAACCGAAAAAACCGCTTGCTTACACACAAAATTTGATCATATATTTTTAAATGTAACCAAAGATAAATGCCTAAAGATTTTTAAAGTTTAAGAATGTGATAATTTATCTGCCAGTTTATAAAATCTCTAAAAGTAGCAGTAAAATCACAAAATAAAGCAAAATTATTTATGATTTTATAGTACCTAACTAGTTAATTATAGATAAAAAACAACCCACCCCATCCATCTTGAAAGACTCGAGTCTTGACCGCACTAGTTACGCAATTTATAGTACAAATCCATTTTAGTAAACTTAGTTATTTTTAATGATTAAATGCATTTTAACGTACCTTACAAGTTTTATGTCTCACTAATCCCTCTAGACACAACACAAACACAACCTCTTCCCAATATTTGTTGAACGCCTTCTGACCACCCCTGCCTTAATTATTATAGCGTGAGCGCGAAGCCCTTTGATTGGGCGCTGTATACGATGCTTATAGCAACTTGCTATTGTTTAACACAGATGTCGCCCTTTTTATATTCATTTTCTATAAAAAATACAGTAAAAGTAACTAAATTTTACTGTAAAAATTCATTTATTAAAATTAACTAAACTATCTAGTTAAAGTCACTGGATATATAGTAAAAGCAACAATAAAAAATTCAACAGTAATTTTACGTTTAACCGCAATAACCCATATGGTTAGATTGACTGAATTTTATA